AATGTCAACCTGTTCTCATAACCTCGAATATTTGTGTTTATAAATCAACCATTCAACACCAAACATTTGAATGGTAAACTTCAAACAAGCTAGTGTCTGTGTAATCTCCTTATTATCCACTTTTATTAAGCAGCTTCTCGTATTCAGTTAATTAACTCCTGCTCTATTTGTATCTCCTTGTGGTGTGTGTATCGTACAAACGTGGTAGGAATGTCGCCCATCCTCGGTATTTATTTGGTGCTTGGGAAAGTGTCAGTTATTGTGCTCTGAGTGCCCCTGGAAGGCCCTGATTCGATTATGTCCAATACTTGTTTCCCTGTGTCTGGAACCCGAACATCGATTGTCGTTCACTATCTATCTGGAACCACTCTCCTTGCCCTTTGTTGGCGTGAGTTCTTTCAGCTTTTGCTATGTTACTTTTATCATTTTCCCTGAACTAATCGCATATCAACAAATTCGTGAAAGGAAATTCAAAGTAAGTCACAGTTCGACAAATTTTTGTAATTATTGACTAGGGCTATCCACCTGTAACTATCTGTTAATGGCAAAAAACATAATTGCCGCTGTGCCTTTGCATCAAAAATTGTAGAAAATAACTTTTTTGATATCAAAAATTTTCGTAATTTGAGGCAAAGATCGTAATTTTTCTTTTTAAATGCTTAGGTATTCTAATATGCTACCAATTAAACGTGGAACAATTTCAAAATAATCCTTAATAACAAAGTTGAAATTCGAAGATTTTCAATATTTTTTTCGTACTCTCCAATGGTATGATCCCTTTAAGGGAATGACGCCAATTTTGAATCACCCTGTATACAAAAAAATGTAGAAAGATCCGATCCGACGTAAGTTGGTGGTTAGTGAGCGCATATAAAGGGTGTTCCCATAAGATTGACGGTTTTGAATTGCGCGCCATTTGTAGATGTCACGAGTTGTCATAAAAAGCGGCGTTTGTTAGTATTTGGAGGAAAGGAAAGGGAGGTTAAGTAAAATTGTGAAAAATTATTATCAAAGTGGTGGAAGTTTTGCAGTCACAGTTCAAATATGCGTAAATATGGGCCATCGGAATGCTCCAACTGAAGCCACTGTGAGAAAATTAATGAAGAAATTTCAGCAAAATAAGTCTGTTAATGAAGTGAAAACAGAAACACTCGTTCGTCCTGGTCGCTCGACTGAAAATATCGCAGCAGTACGTGCAGATGTTGAGGAAAGCCCAACCTCATCAACTCGGCATAGAGCTCAGGAAATTCGTGTTGCCACAGCCACTACGCATCGAATTTTAACAAAAGATTTGAAGCTTCATGCGTACAAAGTTGAATTTGCGCAAGAGCTAAAGGACGAAAGACCATGACCAACGAAGAGCATTCGTTGATTGTATTTTAAAACATCGGTAACAGGCCCTTTGCAGATTTTTTTATTCGTTTATTCTGTATATTTATGGTCAAATAACCGTTCTAGAATACAACAGGCCACTCGTTCTAATATCTGTGGACTACGAAAAGACCTTCGACACCATAGATCAGTTCTACATGTTAAATTCTTTGTCAGATGGTAGAATAGACGAATATACCCAAATAATCAAATATATTTATGAGGACGCCACAGCCAACGTAAAAACACAGGAGAGTACAAAGACATTTAAAATCTATAGATTTCGATGGACTTGGCATCAACATAAATAACGAAAACATAACACATTTAAGATTCGCAGATAACATAGTTTTAATAACACATCGTATTGACCACACCAGAACTATGCTTCAACAACTAAATGCTGCATCTAAAAACATCGGGCTAAGAAAGAATTTGTCAAAAACTCAGCTATTGACAAATCTAGTACTTTGTGATGGCGTATATATCAATGGCGTCCAGGTTGAGGAAACTACCGCTTGCAAATATCTCGGTCATAAAATTCGAATAAATGGGGACAGCCATGAACTACAGAGACGCATAGGATTAACGTGGGCAGCTTTTGGAAAATTGAGACACATATTTAAATCAAATATACCGATTTGCTTAAAGGGAAAAGTTTTCATTCAGTGTGTTTTGCATGTCCTTACTTACGGTGCCGAAACAATAACGCTAGCAAGAAGGGTGACTCAGAAGCTCAGAGTGACTCAACGCGCAATGGAAATATCAATGCTAGGATTGACACTTAGGGGCCACATTACGAACACTGAACTCCGCAAAAAACAGGACTTGTAGATGCAGTGAAGAGGATCGCAACTCTGAAATGAAACTGGACAGGACATATTGCCAGGATACAAGACAATAGGTAGACCAAGCTAATAATAGAGTGGAGACCCAGAGAAGAGGCGAACAGAAATAGAGGACGAACGCCAACCAGATGGTCTGACGACATAAAACGCATCAGGACCAACTGGATGCAGGACGCACAAGATAGGAGAGGGTGGAAGAAACTAGAATGACGATGAAGGAGAAGAAGAAGAACCGTTCTACAATTTTACTTTTATTTCATTTTTCGTACAAGGAAGATATAAGCAATTTAAATTTGAATTTCTATTTAGCGCGTCAAAACGGGCCCCAGCAGTTGCTGGACGGCTGACGTCACTAGACACGACTTTGATATTGGGTTTGCATTTAGTTTACGTTGCGCGGGAGTTTACTTTGTTCTTCAAGTCAAATTTGAACGGTGAAGTTTAGTTGGTGTTATTATTTATGTTTGTGAAGACCATTACAGTAAGTTTTGTTACATATCTTCTTCGCTCCTCTGTATACCAATACCAAAAGTTGATACTATTAAGATTAGTTATCACATGTATACCTATATTTTCTAGCTTGAAAACAACATGGAAAGATACATGGAATGGAAAATGATAGGCGCGCGATAAATAATGAAACCAGATGCAATTCCCTGCAAATTTGGCTGCCAAACAGATAGAAAACGAGCTTTGGATCTGCCTGTACGTAGTGAAGTTTTCAAACGAAACAGACTTGAAATTGTTGCGAATGTTTTACGCGAACATAACGTAACTAACACTTCAAAAAAGGACTTCGGATGTGAAGAAGAAACGTCAGCTGAAATTGAACGAGAAGGGCATGCTAGTTTGTGTAAATCAGTACGAGTCCAGTACGAGATTGTAGCACTACAAGTAAATTTGAGATATACGTAAGGCATTACAATGCAACATCCGGGCACATACGTTGTCCCAAAGTTGCTCACTTATCAAGTTTGCTTCTGAAAGTATTGCTTTATCCCCAATAAAAACTAGATCCGGAAGTCCACGGGCAACGAAGAACATTTGTTGAATGAATTTTGGAACTACGGCAGTTTGGACGGTGATTTTTCGATGAAAATCGTCTTTAGTGAAGAGGCTCATTTTCATCTTGATGGCTTCGTTAATGGACAAAATTGTCACATTTGGGGTTCCCAAAATCCACGAGTGATCGTTCAGAAACAGGTGCATCCAAAAAGAGTCACTGTTTGGTGTGCATTGTGGACTGGAGGCATCAACGGACCAATTTGCTTCGAAAGTGCAGTTGGTCCTGCATTAACCGTGAGTGGTATTCGTTAGCGTGTTAACATTTGTGCCAAAATTGCAAAATATGGACCTCAACAGGAGGTGCAACATGCCAAACAGCCAGAGGAATTGTTGAATTACTACACGAGTCATTCCTGGTCGTGTTATTTCTCGTTTTGGAGATCGGAAGTGGCCGCCCAGATCATGCGATTTAACGCCTTTGGACTTATTTTTTTTGGGTTTTTACAGTCACAAATTTATGTGAACAAACCAACAACGATTGAAGCCTTAAAAGATGAAATTCAACGCTGTATCTCTGAAATACCGCAAAATTTATGCGCAACAGTCCTTGAAAATTTCATGAATAGAGCACGTCTGTGCCAGCAAAGCCGAGGCGGTCATTTGTCTGATGTGTTATTCCATTCATAACCTCAGGATGTTTACTTCATTTTTCAATAAATGTTTCAATCTTATACCACCAATAATATGATAACTTAATACAGAAGGGCTGTTAAAAATTTTCACAGAAACTTGTTACGTTATTTGACGCCCTGGGTATGAATTCAATAGCATGCCCACACTTTGAAATATATTTGATTCTTGCCCTGACAAAACATTTGTTTTCAGTTTCCTATAATGTATCCTCCCGTCGCGAATATACAAAATGATATGTATTATTATGATATGCAAAGGGCAAAACATGTAAAAATATATGAGTGATCTTTCGTTTCGTAAAAATATATGAGTGAACCTTTAACGCTGCGATGACCTTTTATACTTCCTTGAGGTATATCGAATACAAAAAACAAAAACACTGTGAAATGTCATTCCGTAGTATTATAGTCCTTATATTTAGGATATAAGCTTATAGATATTGAATACTCACAGTAAAAAAAACAATTTTTGCAATTCGTAGTGATTTAATAGCTTATAAATGTTAGAAAATGTTGCATAATTAACAATCACTATTAGTATAAATACTATTTTAAATCGTCTCAAAATATAAAAAGTAAAAGCAGCAGATACGGAATTGGCGCTGTAAAATATTATTATTACTCAATGGTGCTAAATAATTCAACTGCCTGAAATGCCTGAGCGTAATCAAGGGTGCCTTTAGTGGCGAAAGGGGCGAAAAAGCAATATCTCCGACATAATTAGGAACGATATTCGTAATAAAGCGGGAAGGTATATCAATTTACCCAAATTTGATAAAATCATCGAGATCTGTGTTAAGGTATGGCATGTTGTAAATCGTTTTTATCTCATTCGAGGAAGGGCCTACAGTTTGGTTTTGTTCGGTTAAGTAAATTTATTGTTAATTATATCTTGACTAAACCAGTCAGTTTTATTAACGATAAACATTAAAGCCTACTACAACTGATAATATTTATATTTGAAACGAATTTTCAATCAGGAAGGTCTTGGTCTTGCAAGACCAAAACAACAAAGGAAATCAACAATACACTTAATTTAATTTTTAACTACGCTGTTAAATCCACTAAAAAGTATATAAAAAACAAACTATTTCGAACGAATCGTGAAGCAGCGATTCCTTTGACTCGGTCAAAGATACCGACAACAGCAGGAACATGCTCCAACGCGAACGTTGGACGCTCGACATTGGAGCTCTAAAGTCCGTCAAGCCTCCAACGTTGGAGGGTGTTCGTAGCATCGTGTAGCGCCGGCTTAAGCCTATTTAATGAAAGGTAATAAAGTCCAAAGGGATCCTGGTGGGGCCTGAGATTAGTACATCCAGAAATATGTGTCTACTTATGTCATAAAATTTTAGCTGCTATGATGATGACCAAAGTTTCATTGTTCTTCAATGATCACGTATGTTGTCTGTCGAAATAACTGGCCCGGGGGCGCCTCAGATTAATATAACTTGGAAGTTTTATCTACTTAAATCAGTATTAATAATTAAAGAAATTTGACTTTCTTGCTGCTGAAAGTTTGTGTGTTGCATAGTTTCGGAAATAATTTTATGTATATAAGACCACAGTTGCAAGTAATGTTACGTTCGTAATATAATTTTAATATGTTGTCATCGCCGTGTTCATTTTTAGGATTGACTACCATTTATCAATGTTAGCGGGAACATCAAAAACAAAGATATATAAACCAGTATCAGGCCAGTAAAAACATATTGTAACGGAAATGGCCTGGGGTACTCACGTTTAAAATGGAGGGATCAAAATTCATGATATTTCATTAAATGGGAGTCTCATTTGCGCCCCATTTACTGTCAAATATGACACTGACAAGCGGGAAGTTTCGCACCTGTTCTGGAGATTTCGAGAAGCATCTGGGTTACCTGAAGGAATCTATATAAGCGGCGACGAGAGCTAGACAGGGGGAGTGAAGTGACAGCAGCGACCGAGTGCAGAAGAGGTTAAACCCCGCGAGTCTGTAGAGCAAGTTTTCCGTTGGTTATTGTTATTGTTTGTGAAGTTGACGGTAATTTTGAAGTTAGTTTGTTCCTGTTCCGCATTTAAAGTTATACCGAGTTGAATAAAAATTGGAAGCTTAAGAAAGAGTTTGATACCCGGCCATCCACGGTACAATATCATGCAAGACATGGGCAATAACCAGATAGATATATAGATAAAATTTATTAAACATTCACATTGTCAGAAAGTCACAACCAAAGCATCAATATGCTCAGATGTTCGGCCCATTGCTCCCTTTGCCCATGGTTAAATAGGCGCGCTAAGTCGTCCATTACCTGGGCAGTGTCCCAACATAGACATTCTCGAGCTAGCCATACGCACGACAACGTCAGCAGATAAGCTTGAAGTGGCGGGTTTGGTTTTATTCGAGGGATATTCAATAAGAAAAAAAGGTCCACCTGAAGGTAAGCCAAGAACCTCTTTTGTTTCTACCTTTAATCTTGATAATGTTAGCCGTGGCGTAAACCGCTGGCAGCCCCAATCAGTAAATGGCCTAGGCCACGCCCCCTTACTCTCGGCGGTACAAAGACCAGCCAGTCAAGTAGTGTTGGATTTTTGCGTTTCCAGTCTGCTAGAATCGCCGTCCCGCTTTTGCAGAAAATGTTGGTGTGTCGTCACGTTTGCTAGAGAAGAATTCCGCTATGATAGAATCCTCCACTATGATAGAATTTGTCAGAGATGATATCTATATAGTTGGCCATATAAGACACCTCTGTAGCTTCGTGGAGTTCGCTTATTCTGGTGTATTTGTCGGCCGGTAGGACGTCTCTCAGGAACGTACCTATTTTGGGTCATTTGAACACGTCGCCTCGTGGAATCGCTGACAGAATGCCAGATAGGGGAGCTTGTTTATTTTGAGGTAATAGAAACTAATTTGGCGCCAGAAGAAAGTATAAGTTTCGTTGGGACACGAAGCTCCTGTGTAGAGCACAGTCAACATACCTATTGAAATGAGGTCGAGCGTCTAGTTTGAATCCCAAGTAGTTCACCTCTTGTACTGGTTTGATAGGGGTATTTTGGACTATGAGTGGCGATAGGATTTTGCTGTTGTTCTAATGAAAAGAGTGTGAATCGGAAACTTACCAGCAAATATGACGGCCTCTACCGCGCGGTAAAAGTAGTTGGTAATGACCGTTAATTATCACGGCGGGGGCAGGCATGAGATGGTATAAAACCTTTAAAGCCTTGGCGGCAGTCGTCTTTTTAAGGCGATATAGTAGTAGTACTCCTGGCGATGATGGCGAAAGTGGCGAATTAGATTCTGACGGCTAGGTGGCGAACGGACACGATCTGAATGATGTTCTGGAGGGTTGGTTATTACTGGGGACATTCATGCTTGCAGGATGGCCGAATATAAGCAACCGCGGAAATCGGAGGAACCACGGCGGGACGATTACACTGGAAGGCGAGACAAGAGTGGCAACATAGGGGGTACTTTATAGCTGGGACATTAGATGGCGCGGCAATACTTCCGGGCTATGTCTGAGCGTAGTTCAGGGATGATTGGATAATCAGTGATGATTGATCAATTGACTTGATGGAGGTCGTGCAAGGCGTTCATTCCATTGATTAATCTTGTATCGAGTGTATTTTATTGCGAACTTAAACCTAACAATATTTTAGATAACGTAATTTGTCAACTAAAATTTAGAGGGTTCTCATACTTTCCAGATCGAACAATATGCAGTATGTACCTTTTTGCCTGCCTATTGCTTTTTTCATAAGTTCAGATAGCTCCAAAGCTCATTTTGTAATGTTACTGCAATATGTTTAGCCGTAATGACAACAAAAAAATAATTTCCAGAAGTTAGGTCTGAAAAGCGTTTCCACAATAATCCGAATCCCCAAGGCAACTAATTCAATGGCTCTTGTATCGGTTAAGAAATTATCTCCTAATTATCTTCTAGTTCGTAATAGATTTAGTACCAAAAACAATTATTAATTACGCTGTACGCCTTACTAATGAAGAACTCGATGTACGGTAAAATGATGTAAATCGCTATAATTCCAAAAACAGACGCCGTATTTTATAACAGTATCGGGAAGTAAAATAATTCCATTTGGTAGTATAATTCTTTATTTGACTCAATGATATGGGGTAATTTTCACTTAATTTTCCAGAAGCTTTAAAAGTCTTCTTTGGATTGGATTTTCTTGGATGTCGAAGATGACATCTCTTAACCCAGAACTCAGTAAAACTACACAGTTTCTTTTGTATGCATTTAGTAGACCAAATCGTGTTCTATAAATGCAGAGCATTTAGATCTTCAGTATCATTTTCCGTAGTATTTTTGTGGCAGTTTTTTTTACTTACTATAATGTAGTTTATTACTTATTTCTTTTGAAATTTTGGAAGCAATAAGGTCTATTTTGGATGCATCTTGTAGGACAACGCATCTTCAATATGTAAAAAAGTTTTGGTGTATCTTTCTTTAACAGAATATTATGACCATTTTGCTGAAATAGCATTTGGTTTACGAGATTGTTTTTGCAGGCCGAAACATTCATTTATTTAGGAATGAATGAAGTCCGTGAGTACTTTTTGTAGGTGCCAACTCAATTTCGGAATCGTACAAATGCCTAGACAATAAAATTGATTTTCCGTCACCATCAGGTAATTTTCAGGAGTTTTTCAAAGTTTCATGTGGTTTTACAGGTGTTTAGTTTAACAATTATTTTCTCAAGAACTTGCAAAGCCAGAGAATAACGATAATATCTAATTTGTATGGCAAAGTGTTAATTCTTCAGATACCATTGAAGCTAAAATGAAGTTTGTAAATTTTAAGTTATCATCAGGATATTTTCAAGATTTTTTAAATTAGACTTTAGTCGTTGTCCATACAGGCCTTAGATTTTAATTTAGTTTCTCGAAAATCAGTGACGATGGAAATTCACTCGCTCGAGTATTTTAGTTTACATTTCGAGTCAACTAACGTCAGGGCATTTTTTACACTTTTATAAGTTTGCAATATTATTTTGCTATTCTTTATGAAGGTCTAAGTTTGGCAGTTATTTTATCAGATAGCAGTAAAGTGGGAAATGGACTTTCGGCATGTATTTTGTAAGGCAACTTGCATTCTATATATGGAAATATTTCAATGTGGCTTGTTTTTTGCTGTATCACAAATTGGAAATTTTAATTTGCGTTAGAATTTGTTGGTAGCGTAGAATAACTTAACAAAATAACTTAACCTGGTTTAATAATTAATAATAATTACTACACCCGTTTAATAATTGAAAAGCAGGTTTGAGTTTAATATTGAGAATTTAAGAAATAATATTGGAAATAGTTGGAGAAACTTAGAAAATATCTCGATTTTGACTCATCTTCAAGAAGTTTTTTAGACTGTTGCATACCTTTATTTTGTAAATAATAAATATTGTGGTTACAATTTTATTGATTAATTTGAAAGTTTGCTTTTTAAAAACAATTAATCTACAAATTAATAAAAACAATACCGATTTTACTAGCAACCGAACATTAACTATGACTCTTAGATCGAAAATCTTAAGAATGAATATCTATAGAGTGAAGACTATCTGAGACTCAATTCTTATGACTTCTGACCAAACATCTAATTACTAAATGCTCGTTTCTGCTATTCCTTCTTTTATGCTTAAATCATGCTGATCATAGCAGAAACGAGACCGTCTTATTTTTAAAGAATAGTCGGCATAAGTGGCCATATAACTTTACATATTTTATAAATAGCGCTTGTTTACGCAGGATGAAGTTTCTCAGCTATTTTCTCTCAAACGGATCAAGTTAGGAAATTCACTTTTATGCGCAATGTTTATGGTATAAGCCATTTTGTAAGTTGCAAAATTTTGATTTTGGAAAGTTTCCAATGTACATTTAATATAAAAAGGTAATTTAAATGTACATAACAATGTACTTTTGATTTCTAACGATTATGCTCTACTAGATAACATTACTTATTGCTAATTTTACAGATTCGACTTTTAAGTACGCGTATTTTAAGTAGGTACAGTCTTCGAAATCCTTTATTTTAATAGATTAGGTGGCGTCTAGTTCGCGGTTGGCAATGTACTTGATCGATTTATATATACCAAAACTAGCGCCAATATTATTTTTAGATAAAACTGTTTTTCATATCAAACATTGCACCCGGTTCGGGTTAGTTTCCTAAGTGCTTCTATAATTTTCTAAAAACCTATTTTGTTACTTCAACTTTGGATATTTAAAGTTAATTTGCTAGAATTATTACAAATTGGCCACTTAAGTAATAATTGATTGTCAGCTAGATTTCCGAGTGAGCTCGCTTGTCTTTCGTGTTGTAACAAGAAGAAAGAGTTGTAAAAAAGAAAATAAACGCTAAAACTGAAGCAGAATGTGTGTGAAGCTACTTGACTGCACCTACAAATGGGGTTGTTCTAATTACCATCGCTTAAATACCTGTTGAATTGTGTGTTAATCAACATAGATAAGAGGTGAATTCAACAAACAAAATATAATTTTACAAGTGGAGCTTTAAATTTCTCACTCTAATCAGTCGAGAAAAAATTTCGAAATTCAGTTTTTCAGATGAGTTCGTTAAATAATAATATAATTTTCCAAATATCAGCTGGTAATTTCTTTAATTGAGTTCTGTCACCAAAATGCACAATTTATCTCAACAGGCTTAAACTTCACTTTATAACATCAGTTTTTGCTAATTGCAAGAAATTAAGGATATAAATTGCTAAAAATATTAAAAAGCTTGATATTATAGAATGATATGAAATCTCGTCAAGCGGTCGCAATAAAATAAAATATTTGTGAAACATTTGAAAAGTCTTCCATGC